GAATGAACATCCTTGCAGATTATGTATAACAGATTTAGACATAACGTGAGGCTGCATCATTTCCGGTGTCATCATTGTCTCACGTTTAGCAGCTTTACCGGGAGCAGAAAGTCAACACAAGTTATGTTTCCGGTTTGCAAACAAATAGATTAATATATCCATCTTACGTTGTCTCCAAAAAGTTTATAACTTTACAAACCGATAACTAGCATGTATGCATGTAGCTATTTAGCTACGGCCTATAGATATTATGGTAACAGTTGAATACACATACTCATACTAAACATCGGACTGCAGACATCCAGGTTTTACCTGTACGTTTTGAGTCGACATGGTTCTTTATCTTCTCATGGCGTCTGTGCCGGCTTCTTCACCCTCTGCTTGTCAACAAATTGTTGACGTTGTATCAGATGGGAAGCGTAACCGTTTTACGACAGTGCAGTTGCAGTCAGAGACCTGCTGTTGGCGCCAAAGTAAACCAGAACTGAAAAGTTACATATTGGGGCTTTAAAAGTAAAAGCATTTACCTTTTTATAACCTTTTTGTGGCTTAAAAGTATATTGTAAGTACTTGTTATTTTGCTGTGTAAATTAATAACTACCCTTTTTTTGAAGACATTTGTGTTAAAATTGACTGAGAGCAGTGTTAATAACTGAGCATGTAAGTAAACTAGATCCTACAACCTTGTTTCTTCCATTGTTAGTCAGAACACATTTTGATTGGGTGAGACCAGTAGGTGACTGTAGTCAAGGACTCTACAGCACTCTAACATTGAAAGGCGTGCAGAGCAGATCACATCATTACTTTCCGAATTCATTTCTTTAAGTTTTGCTTAATCTTCTTTTGGATCTTACTTTTAACTATATTTTCATATATATAGTTTTCTCTGTGATTGTTAATGATTGGTTTGGTGATTTCTAAATGTTCTATTTTAATGTATCTGATGTGAATGGAAATTGTTTTCCTTTTTTTGTGTATTTTTTCTGGTGTGCTTTTGGTTTGGTCTTGTGATTTTCCTTTCAGAGGCTGGGCGTGACTTATGGGGTGCTTGAGCTCTCTGCAATCACACACCTGATCGTCAGCACTAATAACCGGCTGCTGCTGCATTTATACCCTGGTTAAACCTCTCCCAAGCTGCCAGATTAATTCCGCCTACATGGACCAGCTTTTCAAGTGTTACAGACTTCGTAAACATTTTGTGCTTTTTGAATTACCCATAACCCTTGTCTTCTTTTATTCCCAGTGCCTCCTACTAACGAGCTCCAGTGTCTCACCACCCAGCCTCTCGCTCAAGCCTCACCAGCTTTAACCAGCCCACTCCATGACTTCAGCCTCAAGTCTACCAGTATCCCTTTCTGCCATTACAATAAATATCCCTCATGCCCACTACCCTGTCTTGCTTTTGGGTCCACTGAAATACCTTTTGAAAGTATAACAGTCTCTTTTTCTCTTTGTCTTGATGCTTTGAGGTCTTGTGTGAAGGACTTTGAATTGGCTTGTTGCTGCAATGTGATATAGAAATAAACTTGCATTGCTTTGCCTTTAAGCTTTCATCCAAATAAGGAAACTGCCCAAACTAATATGACACTGTGAAACAGAACACATTTTACATATTTATATAAATTTGTTGGTCACCTGGAGAAAAAAACACTATACGAACCACAAAAAAAAAAAAAAAACTTTCTCCCTTTTATTATCGCTTGGAAGCGATATATTGATGACGTGTTTCTACTTTGGAAAGGACCTAAATCCACTCTGAATTTTTACAGTTTTTTAAAAGGTAATTTTGCAGGTCTGAAATTCACACTTAACTACAGCCTTGAAGAAATCAATTTCCTTGACATAAAAGTAAGTAAAAAAGATAATGTCCCCTCCTCGTCTCTGCACACCAAACCTACAGACCATAATACACTTCTCCATGCGGCAAGTTTTCATCCAATTCCTCTTAAAAAAAGTCTACCAGTAAGCCAACTTGTTAGACTGAAAAGAATCTGTGCTGTCCCTGAACAATATGAAAATAGCAAAGCAGAGATGTTGGAAAAAATGTAGGGAAAGAAATTACCACAAACATTGGCTTGTAAATGCAGAGAACAAGGTGGATTCAAAGAGCAGAGAGGCATATATGCCCACTAACAAATCTTTTAAATCCAAGCCACACCTTGTCTACTGCACTACATTTACCCCTAAAACCAAACACATCAAAGATATCATTTTAAAACACTGGCACGTTCTTCAAAATGATCCACAATTACAAAGTGTTTTTAACGACCCACCTATGGTGACCTTTAAAAGAGGCAGAAATATAAGGGACAAAATAGTCCGGGCATTTGAACCCTCTGAAAACCATAATGATAAACTTCTGTTAAGTCCTATCCAAGGTCATTTTAAGTGTGGTACCTGCATTAACTGCCAATATACCAAAAACCTCAAATATTTTAATCACCCTATCAATAGAAAAACTATTAATATTAAGGATTTTATTACATGCAAATCAAAAAATGTGGTGTATATGATTCAATGTCCTTGTGGTAAGATATATGTAGGTGAAACTTCCCGCTCTCTTAAAGAACGGATCACTGAACACAGGAGTGCTATTAAAAGGAAAGACATCAACAGCCCTGTTGCAAGACATTTTAATGAAGCAAAAAACCCCATCTCCTCTCTTTTTTTCATGGCATAGAAGCCATCAAACTTAATCCAAGAGGTGGTAATATTAACTTTATCAGGAAAAAAAGCTTGTTAATAAAGTTGATTTTCTTACTACTAAGTGTTGCTGAGCATTTTGACCTCTTCTACACATTTTATAAGAAAATCTTACTTTCAGTTTATTTTACATATTTCAAAACACATCTTTGAAAACTATATTCAATTTCTCCGAATAAGTAGGCCAGTAGTTTGGCAGATCTTACTCACTGGACGTTGAACTCTGAAGCTCAAAAGGTGTAGCATATTAACCTTTACAGTGCTTACTTACCATCAGACCAAGGCTTGGGTCCTGTGCTCTGAATATGTCCTTGCATGGCTGGGGTAGGGCAGAGACTTGTCTGGGAACCACCCATAGGTGCCATTGGCATACCTTTCAACACAGCAATGGGTCATATTTTAAAATGTATCTGCTGCAATTTTCTCTGAGCCTTTTTTGTGGATCTCTGATGAGATAGTAGATTATTTTTGCAAAAAAGGTGATTTAATTCCCCTCCTTGTTTGTTTGTTGTATCTTACACATGTCCTCTGACCTGTCAAGAAAACTGCTACAGTTCAATGTTTTTAACTACGTTTCCCTGTTTTTGTGCTAACTATAAGCAGATTAAATTTAGGATGTGGACAGTTGTTCTGACAAAACAAATACTCTGTATACTGATCAATGTGAGAATAGCCTTTAGCTGTAGCCCTTTTTAAATTCATGTTCCTCATATCAAATGATTAGCACATACCTTTCAGATCTTTTTTTGTCCATTTTTAAGCCTCCCCTAGAAACCCTAATGCCTTTCATAAAATCATGTTTTAATAAAAGCAATATAAATACCATGTAGGAGAAATCTGAACTCAGAATGTTATTTGCATGCGAGAACCTCCGTAACACAGAGTACTTGCATAGTATTCCATTTATTATTATATTATAGGACTTTCACACTTACAGAAAACTCTATGTACGTGTGAACGCAAACAGCCACATTTATCACTTGGACACCCGGAGATTCTCCTGCCAGACACCTAGCACACAGCAAGTCCGAGTGAGCTGATGTGAGAACACAGCAGGATTTTACCCGGATAAATCACCTTCAGCCAATGGGAGGGGGGAGTGACGTTTATATCCTGTGACTGCTGCACGGTGCTTATTGAGTGTATGCCAATACGATCTCCATGCGCGTAAAAAAACAGCTGCATTACGTTTTCTGTTCGTCAGTATGTTGTTCTCCGCTCTTTCGTGCGTGTGATTCTGTGAACTACACGTAGCATTGATATAAAGGCAAATATTGTTGTTATAGCGTCATATAGCCAACATTGTTGCTTCATCCTCTACTTTTCTCGTTACTTACTTTACTCGTTTTTGTTTTTTTTACTTTACACCTTACCACGTGTACAGCCAGGTCAGGAGAATATTTTCCTCCTTTTCAGGAGTGCATCTTTGAAAACGGCTTTAAATTACATAGACTACTATTTTTAAGTCAATGTTTTCTAAATTTACAGGCTGATATATTTCTAAATATAAGTAGATTTCTGGAAGGATTTTTACCATGAAAGCATATTGGAGATAGGAAAATGTGTATTATTGATGATATAATTACAACTGCCTTGCTCATCTTGTCAAAGCAAGCTGCCACACTGTCCATGGCAGACTACATCAACTGCCAGGTGACATTACAGATGTGGACGCTCTCAGGTCAAATTCTTGGCAGCACTGAGATATGAAACATCTGTGTTTACATGTGGCCTGGCACACATGTCATGGAGGAAACAGAGCTTATATTAAAGTGTCAAGTGAGTTAAGATCAGTTGGATCTAATTGTGTAGTCACCTAAAAATGCAACCTTATTCTTGTTTTAATATTTTATAAGTTGTATTTTAAGCTTACAGAACCCATCACTGTTATAAGAACACAACAATATAGATGCACTCAATAATAACAAAACAACCACTAACACTAACTAATGAACTGTGTCAGCTCACCTGGAGGCCTGTTGTAAGGACTGGCACCAGGGGCCTGTTGCTGCTGCTGCTGCTGCTGCTGCTGCTGTTGTTGTTGTTGTTGTTGCTGTTGCTGTTGCTGATGTGGATGTTGCTGCTGTTGCATTGTGGGTAGACTCCTCTTGCCCTGAACAGCCAGTTGGAGGTTTTCAGGCAGAGGTTGACCACGCCCAAGGATCTTGTAGGCCAGGATCTGAGCTCTGAGCTGCTGAAGCTGAACTGGACTAAAGGCAGAAGGGCCTCGCCCCTGCTGGCTCATGTTAGGCATGGCACCCTGCGGATCCATGGACATCATAGGACCTGACTGGGTGGGAGGCATGTGTGGCGGTGTGGGTCCCCCACCACCACCACCTCCACCTCCTGACATGGGACTTGAAGAATGCTCATGGACACTCATGGGAGAAGGATGGGGTGACATGTATCCTACAGGGGACAGGAAGGTGTTTCAATACATCCACATAATTCACATTAAGCCAATGTTTCTCAACCTGGGGGTCCAAGCTCAAATAAGAGGTTGTAAGTAAAATCTAAGGGGTCTAGTTTATTACTAAGATATAAAGAATGAAAAAAACATATACATACAAATAAAACTTGAGTCTGGTTAACTTTTTTTCTTTTTTATGTTTTTCTTGATTTTTTTCTCTTCTTGAAACAAAAGTATTAAATTAAAAACATTTTAGAAATTACTCATTTTACATCATTGTCATTTTTTATTTGTAGTTGTAAACCTACCTTTGAAGAGGTTAAGTTTAAGTTCATTTTAAAGAAGGGAGCTACTGCCTTTAAGAACTAATCAGGTTTCTTATTTTCTTTCAGTTTAAGAACAAAGTGGGAATGTAATGTACCTTGGCTGTGCTGGTCCAAAGGACTCTGTGGAGGCCCCATACCGCTATGCAGAGATCTCATCCCCACACCTTTCATATGACCAAAGTGCATCGCGTCTCCCATGGTTTTATCGTTCATCCCCTCCATGGTCTGAAAAAGCACAAAACATTTCAATATCAGTATTAGAATTGGGTAAATGTATTTTTTCTAAGAGCTGTACTCTCTAAAGCATCCCTGAAATCACAAAAGAAAAAAATAAATCTAACCCTACTCAGAGAAAAAAAGACAGTTCCTTTTCTTTATGTCACTCGAGCAAAAAGTGACTTGTTGGATTTCACAAACACATTTCTGGACTGTAAGAACTTGGAATATTCAGTTGTAATATTCTCTCTTTTATCCAGACATTAATGGATTTTAAAAGGCAAATGATTAAGGTATGGCACAACCCTACACCTTTCATAATAAGCACAAGCACAACACAAAAACTATAAAAACATTAATTAAAAATTAACTATTGTTGCCTTCTGGAGCACAAACTATGTCACAGAGACTTAATATAAAACCTTAAATAATTTTGTATTTCTGATCTCGAACTTATTGTTGTGTATCACATAATATTTTGCATGTACTAAGGCAATTTATCTGCAATAATCCAATAAGTTTAAGTATTGTTCTGGCAGGTTGTATTAGTCATGCTCTTGTCACAAAATAAACTGTGATGACTAAACATGGCTTAGAAATCCCAGAGTTATAAAACAACTCAATACTGCCCCTGTGCAGATTTGACATAAAAACACTATGAAGTAACAGTAAGCACACGGTACCTTGTGCATAGGATACATTGCGTCCTGAGAGTATTCATTCTGTCCCTGGCCCTGCATGCCATGAGGTGCGTTGGGTGTTCCCGGTCCAGGACTTGGTCCCATCATACTATGGACTGAGCCTGGTGAGGGGTCGGGTCCAGGACTAGGGCCCAAGATAGGCCCTGGGGACAGACCAGCCCCCGGAGAGGGGCCAGGATGGGACATACCACCAGAAGTGTCTGAGGGGGTGGACATCTACTGAACTGCTGGAAGGACTCCAGACAGCTTCAGGAAGAAAAAAAAAGTATTTTAAAAGAGTATTTTAACGGTAATTATTAATATCTTTGTACAAAGGCAGATAAAATCTTGTTTTATTGGACAGGATTATGAAGTAGCCTATAGACGCACATATTCCTTTATTAAAATAATGAAAATAATCTAAGAAACATTCTGGTGGAATTTTATAGAAATTAAGGGGGTCTGTTGAACAATTACAACAACAAATACAAATCTGTAATGTTATTCTCACACTTTAAGAATACTTAGTACTAGTATTAGCGACATTTGTTACATATACTGTAAAACATAAACACAGGTTTGTGACTGGTACCCAGATACGGGTGATCAGCTGACACTGTTTACACGCATAGACTCATCTCTGTTATCCTCCAGGAGAAATGTCAAAACACAGGGTCTCTCTACAAATCAATAAACAACACAATAATTTTGCAGAACACAAATATGATATAATATTCGGACCATTCTTCCTGTACATGTACAGTAACGTTAGCTGGGTTACTTTCACTCTGCAGGACTAACTCTGATTGGATCATGGCTTCCCCAAAAAAAAAAAACCCTGGTAGCCATCACGGATGTGCAGACAAACATCTTAACTTTTAAGTAGAAGTCAAGCGCCTGACATGAACCTTAAGAGCAATTCAAGCGGCATATATAGACTTAAGTGTCAAACTGAGATGCGAGGACCACACCAGGAACGACAACCGGGACATTTTGTGAAGACTTGTCTGCATCGCTCGACCGTAAAAGGAAGTCCTGCTAACAGTTAGCTTACATTAGTTAGCATAGCAATTAGCCTGCTAGCTGGTCCGGGAGGCGCTGGCTTTTGGTTACAAAAATCTTCAGCTAGCGACCTGTCTCCGCGTCAGAAAGTTTGGACAGTTAGCTTACACACTAAGTAGAAACATATCCGTATTAATCGAAAATGAAGCGCTGTTGGTCATTTTACCTTTCGGCTAAACTGTAACTGCACTCAAATCAGGTAAAATATATTATGTTTCTTCAAAATATGACTGCTGTCTATAAGTTCACTCCCCCTTTGCTGTTGTACATGTTAAACATTCCGTCGAGTCGCCCATTACTGATTTGTCAGTGTTGCCGGAAGTCCCGTCTACCTTCGCAGTGATTGGCTGTGGTAGTCGCCAATCATCTCGTGTTGCTTTTTGGGCGTGTTCGCTGCTTTATAAGCGTTACTGTAACTTCTAGAGCAGGGGTCTCCAACCTTTTCTTCATCTGAGAGCTACTTTGAAAAAAAAAAAATGGAAGTGGTCAAGAGCTACTTGCATCAGATCGCTTGCATTTATTTACATAGCACACATCAGTTGGATTAAGCTGCTGTTTGTACACGTGTGAAATTGCAATAAACCAATGCTTATCAATAATCTTAAATTCACATCAAGGTCCAAGAAAAAAAAAAGGAATATTTTTGCACTTCTTATTGTGCCACATAGTAAGATATGTTGCTGAAAATTCACATCAATGTCCAATAAAACATTACTACTTTACACTTGTTTTTAGAGGCCAAATACATGAATAGTGGGAAGAGGTGCATTTACTGTAGTCAGATTTATTTTTATTTTTTAACACAGTCAGTCAACCTATAGGTGAGCTACTGAAAACCTGCCCGCGAGCTACCGGTAGCTCCCGAGTTACCTGTTGGAGAACCCTGTACTAGACGATACTGTTATAATAGTTCAATAGTTCAATTCAATTTTATTTGTATAGCGTCAACTCATAACAAGTGTTATCTCAAGACACTTTACAAAAAGCAGGTAAAATACCTTACTCTTTGTCTGTTAACATTACAAAAGAGCAGGTAAAAAGACCTTACTCATTGTTATGTTACAAAAAGCAGGTAAAAGACCTTACTTATTGCTATATTACAAAGACCCAGCCTATCCATCATGAGCACTTTAGCAAAGCAGCAAAAGTAATAATAGTAATAATAGTAAAATAGAGATCTTGTAATATCGTTGTAGGCTAATGTATGTTTACTACTTTAGTTTATTTTCCTTCTTTAAAGGTGCACTGTGGAGTATGGGTGGTGAAATTTGTTGGAGAAGTTAAACAATTCTATGCTTTATTTTCTGAACCCAATACACAAAATGTCCTCAGAGGAAAATCTGATAACTGTTTGGAGCTAAAAAATTAATAATTTAAAAAAAGCTACAGAGAGAGTAACGGTTTAACTGTTGTGGCCCCCCACCATCGCTTCTAGCGTCGCATTTTATCTTGAAACATTGTTCCGGGGACCAAATTTTCCTCTGAGTACAGTTTGTGTATAGAGTTATGGGCATATACCACAGAATCTGTACACTTCTCCAACTTTCAAATTTCTTTAGCAAAACTAGTGCACCTTTAAACAACAAATAGCCTAAGACTGTTTTTTTTTTTGCTTTAAGTGATTAGTTTAAAATAAAGTTTAGGTATATAAAGTTGGTTATAAACGCATGGAAGGGATTGTAGGAGTAAATACTTTAGTGTAGTATAGAGTATATAGCCTACTGGATTTGTTTTACTCCACAAGCCAACTCATCTCATGAAATATGTTTTTTATATAGCCTAGATTTAATACATTTTTTAAAGAAACAATAATAGTTTTGAGCTTTAAGGTTAATTATAAGCTTTTGATAGAATGAGTAAGCTGCTGACAATATACTTTCAAAGTTTCAAAGCAAACAATCAGTTATGAGTGTATTGCTCTTACCTGTATTTTAACATTGCAGTGTTGTATTTTATAGGATAGGATAGGAAAGGTAGGATAATACTTTATTGATCTCCAGAGGGAAAATTTGGGTGTTGCAGCAGCATAAGACAAGTATGTTCTGTTAAATAAAAGGACTGAGTGTTTCTTCTTTTCTGATTTTAAAGCCACATGTGAAAACACATATAGCACGTGCAACACATATAATGTGCACTCATTCTAAATCCCCATTTATTTTTTTACATTTAAACGTTTTACTGGAAAGTTTGTCTGCCAGGAAAAAATATTATCCTCCTACATTTAAAAAAAAAAAAAAATGATTGAAGGAAAGCTCAAAACTTAAAGACCAGATGAAACATGGTTAAACGTCACTACATTTAATGGACTCAGCAGTTAGGCACTTATATCACATGAGCAATGGATGGTCCTGAGCCTTGAAGCACAAATTAGTTTTTTACATTTATACAAACATAAATAAAAAATTGTACGTTTTGAAAGAATTATATAGGAGAAAAGGTGCCATTGATGATGTTAAGTTAACTCTAAAGAAACACTGAAGTGATGAAAAACATATTATCTGACTTTTTAACCAAATAAAGGCATCATATGAGTTTCATTTAAGTGTTAAAATCAAAATAAATACAAAAGCAATAGCTTGGTAAATATTTTGTCTTATACTGTAAAGCTAATTATGGAACTGTTGAGAGGGAAATCATGAGGCCAATACTTACTAAAATAGCCATGTGCTCTTCTCACAGTGAACACTAGATGGCAGCAATGACCAGCTGATACTTCAGTAAACAGGCCTCTGCAGCTCTGAGCAGTCACACAGAAACACCAGGAAGGCTGGTAATGAATTACCACAGACATCTAAGCTCTAAGTAAACATGCCAAGTGAAGAGTGATTGAGTGTCAGCCCTCATTTACAAATACTCACTTTGTGAGTCTGATGATAGCATAGTTTCAAAGGCAAACCATGCAAATATCACACAGGTTTAGTCAGGCTCCATTTGCATCCTTCTGATATCAGAAACCTTGTTTAGTTTCCATAATGAAAAGATCAAGCTTTTTCTTCTTGATCATTTGTTTTTTTGTTTTTAAGCTTATAGAGTTTAAAAAATATATGCCCTGCTTTTTCCAACAGTGTACAGTTCATCATTTGTCTGTATTTACATCAAGAGTATCTTATCCAAATAAAGTAAAATAAATAACAAGAACGTGTTTCAAGACTGAAATGTGTCAATATTCAAACATTCTCTCCTCAACCTTTATTTGAGCTAGCTTTTTTACAATCTGGAGCTGTGAAATGACTGAAAATCAGACAAAGAAACACATTTTAAAAAGAGGGTTTTCTTTCGTCGTTTCGTTTGTTTAGAAATGTTTTCTGTCCTGTTTTTTTTACTCATAGTTCATTTTTGTATTTGCATTTACCATGTGTTTTCCCCAAATAAAGTTAAATCAATAACAAAACTAATATCTGCTTTGAGATAAAAATTATTTTAATTTTAAAAAAAAGTTAAAAACATTATCCTCATGACAGAGTTTTGTTCTATCTATCTATCTATCTATCTATCTATTGTTGATGACACTTGGATGACCTTGTAAGACATACAAAGCACTGCAACCTGTCAGCTCATCATTTGAATACCTCACATAATAATAAACAAAGCTGTGCATTTTAACTTTGATCTTAACTTCCCCTCCTCAACAATCCTGCCTTTTCTTACAGGTCTCCATAAAGGATGTGTGCAGGGTTCCTGGATGTAAATTTTACTCAAATAAACAAACATAATTAACTTTGCGGTCAAAGCCACTGTCCCCCATCAGATTCAGCGAGCCAGGAAAGACTCGGCCGCAATCATTTGGCAGTGAAAGGACTAGTGGTTGTGGCTTCCATTCACCTTGAAACCCTCCGTAAAAGGCTCCGGTGAATCAGTGGCGTGACATTTTATTCAAAGTGTATAGGTTTTTAAAAAGATGGGTTGAACAATAGAACTCTCTTTTACGAATGCAAAGATCGTCCCTTGAACTCATCTTTTTTCCTTCTTGTCTTTGATAATCCCCTCATGCTTTATAAATCTTTAGAAATGGAAAATAGAATACATTTGAATGACTCAAGATGTCAACAACATGTTGTGTGAAGAGCAAATACTGTATGAAATCCTTTTCTCTGTCACACTTTGAATTCTGTCATCTTGTTTTTTAACATTCCAGTAGAGCATTTAGTCACATTTTTGATAAAGAGATCTAAGGTATTACTAACACAAACTTTGAAATGATTAATACTGGTAGGCTGCAACAGAAGCTTTAAAAAAATAAGAAAAGAAAACAATAATAATCATCATTGATTTAGTGAGTGTGCATTTTAAAACGCATATGATATTTTTTTTTTTTACAACAATTGTGGAGAGAGAGAGAACAGCGTCCGGATTGTGAAGTGAACCTGTGACCACGACTATAGCCTTTATACCAACCAGCTAAACATGCGATTGCATATGATGGCTAAAATACTAAAATAGCTGGAGCTATTCAAAGATGCTAAATGTACTGGAATCTTTTAACTTACAAAAGATAAGAAAAATATGTAGGGTGAATATGGGTAAAGTGGGACACTTTCTGAAATTTTCCCTTCTGTGTCGATTTTAATTATGATTTATTTGTCAAATCCCCTCATAATATACTATTCTAAATAGCTTAAGAGCGCTACTATACTATAGAGAAGAAAAGAGAGAGAAATATTAAACAATGGACAGATGGCTCTTCCTCAAACAAATATTGACCCTAAACAAAAATTTCCATGGGACTATTGGCAAAGTGGGACACCTATAATTGGTAAACTGGGACACTTAAAACACATTAATTGTTTTTCACTTAAAAACACAATAATAAAAGCAATAACAACAGTTGTCACTTTTAAATGTATTTTAATTTTAAAATTTAAATAAGGAAACTTCATAAAAATCTCATAGATCATTAATTACACATGCTAAATTTAATCGCAAACACAGGCAGCAAACAGTCACCAGCCCCCGCCTATAGGCGAACATAAACATCTGGTGCAGAGTCAAAGGAAGCAATGTAGAAAAGTGAGAAAACATGTAGACCAAGCCAGGATCCAAGTGAACAACTAATTCAACGTTAAGTTTGATAGGACAAACCAGCGGAAAAGCAGAGTCAAAATTAATGTTACTGTGTTTGATAGCCTAAGTCACTTATCGAAACAACCATGGCATCCTGACATATTGTTTTATTTTTATTTATTCATCACTTTTCTCCTCTGGCTCCTTGCCCTTCTAATTTCTACCATTGGATTCTGAAAAAAATATTATCATAGTAAGCATTATGTCA